GGGGGGGGGGAACTTGGCTCCAGCCACCGCCACCATGACCGGTGTGGTGCTGCTGCCCTTCTATCCTCACCCATCGGCCGCCACCGCGGCCTGGCCCCGGCGGCGGTCTACCCCCTCGCTGGCTACCGCCGCCACCGCGGCTGCCGCCCCCCAAGCGGCGTTCCTCGGCGCCCTCTCTCGAACGCGCGCACCGGAGTTGCCGCTGGAAACGGCACTGCTCGTTGATGTGAAGCTCGGACTGGTGGTAGCGGCAAAATCCGTAGGGGTGGTCGTTGAACACATCACCGTTTTTCTTCCCTCCGTCTCTATCTTGGCCGCCAGCGGCTGCGTGACCGCCGTCTTGACCCCCGGTTCCCCCCCCACTGCCCCCGCCGCGCCGGCCCATGCCGGACGCGGCGAGAGCGAGCTCCCCCTCGCGCCTCTCCCCCTTGCTCCTCTCGCGCTCCATCTCCCTGTGGGCGTCCCTCACCACAGTCTCAAGGGTACGCAACGTCAGGACATCGTGGGCAAGCAGTATTCCTTTTTGCACGACGTACGAAGAGGGAAGGTCACGAGCAATGTCTTTGTTGGCATCCGTTTCATCTTTAATCATGCCTACAGACGCTCGACGCAAGCAAAGGGCTTCTGCCCGGGCAATATAGTCCTGTGGACTCTCAGACGCTTTCATCTCCAACTCCTTCCAGTCCTGCTCCAACCTCGACTTGTCTGACTGCTTCTTCTCTTGATAGAACCCTGTCAATATTTTCCAGCCTGTTTGTGGACTCTACACGCCAGAATCAAGCTCTGAATCGGGGGGTACAAAACCTTGCCGATGAGAATATTCCATAGCTTGAAAGACTTGGTTACCATATCATTGCCAAAAAGTCTCGGAAGCTCAGCTACATTCACACCTCTCTTTCCGACCTTGACCTCGACCTCCAGTTCCAACGCATCATGCACACCGTCCTCCTGAAAATATGAAATCATCTTACCACGAAAAATATCAAACATAATGTACAGATCCTGCTCCTTCTTCACACTACCAAGCCAAGGTTCGATTTCTGAGCCTGGNCGAAGGTGGCTGGTTTGCCTTGGTTGGAGGGTGATGGCTGGTTGCCAGTAGGTGGGATTGGGTTGACGGCTGGTGGTTGGGCGTAGGTGACGTAACCCTCGTTGATCCTGTTGGCTTCAAGTTCGGCTTGTAATCGTTGCTGGACGATCTCCTCCACTTATTGTTGTAGTTCTTCCACGCTAAGGGCGGAGAGGTCGATGCCCTCCATGGTGTCTGTTGATGTAAGAGTCTATCGGTTGCGCGTGATTGCACAACCCCCGGAAGGCTACGTCCGCGCGCAGATACCGTGATATCACACTAGTGTGGAAGGTAAACTACGCGGGGTGCAGCAAGCCCGTCCTGGGCGTTACTTGGGGCACTGGGTAGTCGGCCGTGTTAGGCCGAGAGAGAGAGGTGGAGAGAGAGGTGGAGAGAGAGTGACAAAAGGAAACTCGATTGGAGAGAGACGGCGGTAGCGGTGGAAGGAGAGAAGGAAGAAAGTGTGCGCAACACGCACGCAAGCCTCATCGTTCCAACCGCGCCGACAAGGGTCCCCGTGACTGCACCGGTGGTACCCTACAACACACGAAATTCCCAACACGTATCTCCTTGGGATCCTCACGACCAGATACTACTGCGAGTATATCAAACAAGCGGCACAAAAAGTGAGTTGGTACGCCTCGCTGCAGCTAGCTGTACAGGAATACGTCCAGGATCACACGCAGCACTTCAATTGATTTTTCCCTTTGGACCTGTGATGACTATAGGATCGCACAATCGGGTGCTCTACTTACGTACATTGTGGTCATTTCGGCATAGAGTTTGTTCTGCTTGCGCGGACACTGTGCGGAGAGAGCACGCACCAACAACCCAAGCAACTCAAGAACAAACAAACTAGGGAAGTACTTTTTGTTTCGACGACATCTACAGCAAAACCTTATCTTCGAGAACCGAGATAGGAAAATCTTCAACATTCTCAAGCCTACATCTATTACGAAGACGAACGGCTTGGGTGTGGGGTGATTCGATCAATAGATAGAAGCACATCGCACACGAATGAGCTGCTGTGGAAGAACATTCCGCCGGCTCTTTGTCACAGCCGTGTTAACGCTATCGACTCAGGTGGTTTACTCCTGCTTTAGCTTGACAACAACTGGCTAGAAGGGTCCAATTAGTGTTGATCAGTTTCATCAGGTCGTATGAAGCTGCATGACGATCTTAACATTTGAGCAAAAGGGGGTTAGAAGGGGGCTCTAATCAAGGCGGGTTTAGCCTAGATGACATATCGAGGTGGAACTTATCAAGGTGGGGCTAGCAACAAGGGGCTAAATAAAGGTGGGTCTACCCATGCATCGACTCACAGGTTGACAGCTCTCTCAGCGTGGTCGAAGTCTCTTCCTCCCGAAGTGGCCGTAAGTAAACACGTGTGTGATGGAACGCTAGAGGGGCGCCGTCACTGATTCAGGGGACACCCGAAGGTATACCCTAGCCCTCCTCAAACCATCGCAAGATGGAATTTATCTCAGTATTTAGCGCCCGCTCATGCTACCGTGACACCCCCCCAGCATTTATGTGTTGAAAAACACAATATGCAAAGGAGGTAGCAGAACGTGCGCCTCTCCCTCCTCAGATCATACCACGCCGGGAGCATTGATCTGAAGAGAGAGGATGCCGCCCTTCCCAGGCTAGACCACATGGGTTTGAACCTAGTGAAGGCCTTCCGGACGCATGCCGGTCTCGAGGTCGACATCGATATTACATCTCAACAGTATTGACCTCGGACGGCGGCTGATAGTGCTCTAGCCGCCACGCACCGGACTCCCTGACGACGGCGATCTTGAACTGAAGAAGATGGCCTTCGAATGCCAAAGTCGATCTTCTACTGCAGGAGACTTCTTCGACTGTCAGAGACAACTGACGACGAAGATCTTGGACTGAAGAAGATGATCTTCACTGACAAAGACGATAATCAACTGCCGAAGACAATCTTCAACTATCGAAGACGATCTTCAACTGTGGAAGACGATCTTCAACTAACAAAGATGGTCTTTAACTGACGAAGACGACGATCATTCGCAACACCGCCGCTACACCCCCCCTAGCTCGCCGCATGGAACCCGAGCAGCTGCCGACGGATTACCCTAGACGCGAAGCCGATCGTGAACATCCTTTGAGCTTCTCCTCAATATCACTGCCAAGACACCCCCTCAGCTCGTCACAAAAAAGCGACGATCTATCGGCAGTGTACCTCGCACGGAATCTTGAGCATCCGATGGCTTTAGTCGTATCGGCAGGTTGATACCTCGTTGTACCTCCCAAGATAGCCTTCATTCCGGGCGAAGCTCGCCCGATCCACATGGTTTGAATTTCGCGGTCGGTTTTGCTTGCATTATCCGTAGCGCCTCCAGCACTTCGATGGTTTTCCGTCTCGTCTCCTCCATGGTTCACTCAAACGGTTTGGCCGTGCCTGGCAGAGCTCCGACAGCATCTCCTGCACTACCGACCCCATCCTCTCAACAGCCTCCCGTCCCCGAGGGTATATGATACTCCCAGAGACATCTTCACTAGCTGCAAAGATGTTCCATGATGGTTGAGGTGTTGCCCTTCTTCAGCGTTGACCAGTGGTACTTGTCCGCAATGGTTATGGTGCGAGCAATACCCAGATGTCCCAAGGTGCCGTGTGCCAGAGCCAGCTCTCCGGAGATAAACGTACGATAGTGCCACTACCTGCACCCTGCCCCGAGATGCTTACCAAAGTATGCTTTCCTCGTCAAGGCCGTAGGCCGCCGTCTCTCATTTGCCCTTCTCTAACGCTTCCGTTATTGGCTCAACAGTAGGTCCTCTTGTCGGGCCGCCTTCAGCTTAGTGCCGTTACGCAAGATAGTCTCCCTCTGTTCCAGCTGCTCTGAGTGTTCTCTGCACAGTGGTGGAGCCGGAGTTGGTTGCTTTAACACTATCGGCTCCGAAAAATCCGCCGATGTCGGTGTTGGTGTCGTTTCAGCCTGTGTCGACGCCGATGCTGTTACGGAGGTCGGGGCTTGTGTCGATGTCAATGGTGACGTTCGATGCCGCTGCTGATGTCGGTTCCTATGTCGATGACAATGTCGTTGCCGATTTTCTCTGTGCCTCCGTCGACGCCGATGACGACATCGAGGTTGGCCCTTGCGGCGGCCCGGATGGTCTCGTAGACGACGCTTTTTCCTCCTACGGTGGTGGTCGCTGAGCTTCCTCCGGCTGTCGGCCGCTGTGAACTGCGCTTCGACTCTTAGCTTTGTGGCTTTGACGCCTAATCGATCAATCCTGTCAACAGCCGCTCGAGAAAATACCCGCGTCACCGCGGGTGTTTGCACCTCGTCCCGCTGCAAGTTGGCCAGATCCATGCCGCTCATCCTCGCGTTGTAGTGAAGGACCTGCGTTGTCTTCATGTGTCACATCCATCCGTCGCTTTGGCCTTCCTCGAAGCTGCAGTAGATGAAGCACCTATCGCAGCATGGGTGTCAGAGTGGTTTCTTGTATCTCTAGAGCCGCATCACATCAATTGTAAGGGTCGCCTTCCAAAACAGGACCTCCAGCAGCCCTCCGCCCACGGCGCTCAGGCGACCAACGGAAGAGACCACCGCCGAGCTGACGGCTACGGTGATGTCGGGTGCTGCTGAGACCCCGCCGCTGGCGAGGTGCGCACGAGGGCAGCGAAGTTGGAACACGAGCGAAGCGCAGCACAAGATCTTCGAAGCGCCTAAAGAGATTAAGGCGACCCAGCAGCAACTGCGTGGGGCCTCAAAGAACAGCGCCTTCGAGGCGACCCTGAAGGCGATGCTCAAGGCGGCGCGAACGAATCGCAGCATCGCGAGGTGGAGTGCACTGGAAACGTTCTTCGAGGGCTATGTACGGCACCTCGAGAAGCAGAGCCGCGAGGGGGATCAGGCGGGTTTCTACAGGCACCTGAAGATGATCGACGTCGAAGGTAAGAAGTCTTTCACCTCTCAGAACATCAAGGACGAGGACGGCAAGGTCCTTCGGAACCCCACATTTATCCCCCAACTGTGGGCACGGTGGTTCCACAAGCTTCTCAACACCAAGTCGCCGATTATCGACCTGCATGCGGCTGACAAGGTCAAGCGGTGGCCCACGTGCGTGCCACTCGACGACATCCCATCTCTACTTGAGGTTGAGGAAGCGGTACGGGAAATTGCCAACAGAAAGGCCGTCGGGCCGGGCGACCTACCGGCTGAGCTGATCAAGCTTTTCCTGGACGGAGATCAAGGTCTCCTCCGCGAGTTCCACGCCATTGTCGTGGACGTGTGGCAGACGGGGGACGTACCACAGCNCCACACGCCAGCAAGGTGCTGCTTAAGGTCGTCGCTACACGACTGAACCACCACTGCGAGCGAAAGGGCATCCTCCCGGAGGAGCAGAGCGGTTTCCGCCCACACCGGTCGACGCTCGACATGCTGTTCGCCATCCAGCGGCTCCATGAGCTCGCGAGGAAGAAGAGTACTGCGGTGTTCGCGTGCTTCGTCGACCTCACCAAGGCATACGATTCGGTGGACCGAGACCTACTGTGGGACGTGCTCCGACGCTTCGGCGTGCCCCCGAAGATGCTGGCGGTCATTCGCCACTTCCACGAGGGCATGAGGGCGCGCGTCCGAACGGACGACGGGCAGTACTCGGAATGGTTCGACGTGGGCCAAGGCCTCCGACAGGGATGAAACCTGGCCCCGCTGCTGTTCAACTTGTTCTTTGCCGCAATGCTCATGGTCGCCGTGGCCGAGTTCGACAAGGACCCCAAGGTGACGGCGGACATGGTCAAGATCCGGACAAAAGTGTAGTACACGGGCAAGAAGGGCAGATCGGCGGGGAAGAAGACGACGGTGTTAACGGACGCGGAGGCCCTGTGGGCCATGCTCTACGCTGACGACGCGGCCATCGTCTCGCGTTCGCCGGAGAGTCTCGAGAGGTTGATGTCGGTCATCGTGCGCGTGGCCGGCCTGCTCGGACCTAGGGCATCGGAGCCAAAGACGGAGATCATGTGCATGCTGCCGAAAGGGATCGAGGAACGCCCGTTCACGGTCAGCGCCGCCGGCCAGACGTACAAGCAGACAGATCGGTTTGTGTACCTCGGACGTACCATCTCCGCGGACGGGAAGGCCGACCGGGAGATCACGAGCCGCAGCTGCCGAGCGTGGAAGTGCTACCGCCGGAACAGTGCTTCGATGTACGACAGGCGACAGGCCAACCGTCAGCTCAAGATCCGGCTACTCCAGGCTGAAGTGGTGGAGACTCTCCTAAACGGGTGCTCCTCGTGGAGCCTAACAGCGGAGCACTACACGAAACTCAATGGGACCCACCGCCAGTCCCCTACATGGTGCATCGGCTGGAGCAAGCGGAAACGCTCAGACCGACCCCTGTCCTATGCCCAGGCCCTCATCCAGGCCGGCTGCGAGGAAACCATCGAGGCCACCGTGCGCAAACGGAGGCTGTGTTTCGCGGGCTTCGTTATGCGCATGAGGANGGAGAGCGACTGGGTGCCTCGTCTAGGAGAGGACCTCGTGGCCTTCAACATGGGAGACGAAAAGGAAGGGGGAAAATGGAAAGAGAGCGCCAAGGACCCGGAGGTGTGGTACAACAAGGTCGAGGACGAGGCGGCATGGTTCATGAAGAAATGGTACAGGCAGGAGGCGGAAGCGTCCGCGAAGCGCCAGCGAGCGAGGGCAGAGAGTACGACCATCTCGAGACCGAAGAGATAGGGAGACTTGGAAGCGGCGGTGGGGGGGAAGAAACGGCGACCAGGCACTGCTGTAGAAGCGAGTAGGGCGGCCGAGGCAGCACTTGTGGCTAACTATTTACCCGGCTGGTCTTGTTGCGCCCTGTTTCCCTCCCTGCTGTATGCTATACTCCTTCATGTATATCCTTTGAATTTCCTTCGGCCTCTGTGCTGTGTTTCTTTTTTTCATGTCCTCCTTGCCTACTCTGCCGTGTTGGGTACCTTGATCTCCCCTTTGCTGTTGCTTTTGTTTTTATATATCTGGCTGTCTGCCCATCTGCCGCCTCTTTGTCCTGTTGGGTCCGTTACTCCCATGCCCTTGTGCGTAATGCCTGGTGCTGGTACGTTACCCTTTGATATTTTTGCTTTCGGCGGATGTGGAAAGCGTCCTCCTCTATTTTTGTTTTTGTTTTATTGTGATCGGTTCCCGAGGGCTCTTTTCTCGACCGGTCGGTGCGGTAGCTGTTCTTTTCTTTTTCTCATATTGTTTTCTTTTTCCGAGTGGTTTGTACCCTATTCTTGTTTTGTTTCCCCGCGGCGTCGTATGTGCCGGGTTTTGAGACCACGGGCTCCCAATTTATTGTGGACTATAGAGCTAATGCGAGAAACAACAACAACAACAAAAGAACTTGAGACTCGGTCTGTCTTGGTGTGTCCTCTGACGCCGGAGTTGGTATGGATATTTCCGCCGTGATCGGCACATATCGGTATCGGCGCTGGTGCCGTCGTAGAGGCTGACACCGTGTATTGGTTGATCCCGACGCTCGTGGCGGCGTGGAAGACTCTGTTGGCGTCGTCGTGTGTGGCGACTCTGACATCCTCTGAGACCTGCCGCTGATTGTCGAGCTCTTCGAGTAGCGCTCCGGATTTCCACCGGTGTGGTTTTGAAGCGTGAGCTACCAGCTCTGTTAACACTCGCCCGAGTGACTCCTCTGGTTACCGCGACTATCGTTGTCTCTTCCTGGCGTAAACTAGTCAGACCAATGACAAGTTCCTCCTCGTCGTTTCCAGCATGCCTGTCCTCGGAGTTGTCGAAGGTGGAGAACCTCTCGCAGCATAGGTGCTTCAGTGGTCTCTTGCAACACGAGTGCCGCGTCACACCGTCTGAGTATCGGTGGAATATCGACCTGTCCCGAGGTGTGTTGTACTTGACGTAGTCCTCTCGCGACATATTGTGCACTTCGTCAAGCTGTCCTGCCTCTTCTTTAGTGTGGCTCTGACCCACAATGTGCTATACACCCTTGTCGCCCCAAGAAGCTTCTCACCGGTCTCTCAACATTCTCCGTCCACGTAGAGAGTTTGGTCTTCAGCATGTCGCCTCCGCTCCTTTTGACTGTGACCACAAATTCTCGACGCTTGAATGTGCGTACGCCCTTACAAACTCCTCATCTGTGTAGTCCATAATCTCCGGCGTCAGCTGAAGCTTGTAGAACGCCACAATATTCTCCTCCCCTGGTCGTCCAGCTCGTACGCTCCATGTCAGCTGGACATACACCGTCCAGCTTGGTCTCTCTCAGGGTCCCTGCTTAACAGTGTCACACTTGATGAAACACCACTCCTCGCCTCGTCATCCGCTGTCTTCGAGTGTGTCATGTTCTAAGAGGGACGTCATCCAACACCAGCCCCTCAGGTCCTTTCCTTGGTCCCTCCGTGACTCTATTGCCTGACTGTGTGATGTCGACGTCCATTTCTCCTGGCCCTTTCCGTCGACGCCGTGAGAGAGCGTCTGGAGCGATGTGGTCAGTGCCCTTCCGCCAATTGAAGACCATGTCGCACGCCACCATCTTCAAAGCCCATCAATGCGTATTCGGTGAGAATTTCCTCGCCACGCGGTCCACGACGAGTGTGAACTGCCGGTGTTGCCGGTAGTTCTTGAGCTCAACCGCGTACAACACTCCAAGAACTTCTCTGTCCTGGGACGACAGTTTATCTGCAGCTCTGGCATATCCCCTGGGTGCCTCCTGCTCCACCTCCCGCGTGGGAACTGACCCTGTTGCTACGTTGCTGACATCCGTGTGTGGCGGGTACGGTTGGTGCCCGTCGGTTAACACGAGAATGGTATGGATCGTGAGTATTTCGCCGATTTCTCCTAAAGCTATGGCTTGTTCCGTTGCCGACGACACTCTCCGCGCGCGGGAGTTGTCAGAGCTAAGCTCCTTGTTTCACGCCATGTCCGCCTATGATCGACGCATTGCGCTGAAATTTCGGAATAACGATCTCGCCGTGTGGCGGTAGCCCAACTCTCCGGTTACCCTCGGAGTTCTTCGTTCTCGTGCCTCCGCAATCTGTCCCGTCTTTTCTGAGCTCACATCAATTTTGGATCTTCGCTTTCCTGTCGATGTTCTAGGTCCGGCTCCTCGTCGTTCCAAATCACCTCCACCGCCCTGGGGTCTTGTGTTGTCTCCGCGATGATTTCAGGAGCAATAATTTGTCGACCTAAGCTCTACCATTGAACACCCTTGGCGATAGTCAGCTTGGCACCGCCTTCAAGATCAAGGAGCGGTGTCGAGAGGACCCTGTTTCGGAATACGGCATTGGGTCCATGATACGTGCATCTACCTCAACTAACACTGCCGAGCACCTAGGTCTCTGGGTTGACGAAGATCGGCCTTGCAGAGTCCTCTCGTCTTCCCATCCCGTAGCCCCCAAGTGCAACACTTTCTCGGCTGCGTACAACGTCGGCGGTGAAATATCTTCCTCCTCCTGTTCCGCGTCCTTGCCGTGCCAAGATGAAGGTTTTGCTCTCGTAGGCTCCATCCATGCCGCCAAAGATGAAGACTTCCTCGCAGATGCTCCATCCATGGCAGAAGTGGTACCCTTTTTTTGATGTGGCGTCGGCCAGACTCTCCTGAGCTAGGACCTTCGCCTTCCGTGGAAACCATGTCCCTTTCTCAATACTTCCTCCTCTCCACTACTTAGCTAACGCGGCGGGCGCCTATTTGCCTCTCCCTGGCCCAGAGTCATTCAGGAGGTGCACGGTTTGACTACGGTGTTCGCATATTCCAGAGACGTGCCCATGCCTATTGTGATGACCTGGTGGTGGAACAGTCGTACTGGTGGAAACCACAATGGCGATGTCGGCCTCCTTCTGTGTGTCACTGAGCTCCAGGGTGTGATTAAACATCACGTGTGTTCCCCAGGAGAATCCCTCCCAGGACTCACTCCTCCGTCGTCGCCTCCTCCGCGTATTCTTCGAGGAATTGGTCTATCTCAGTGGTAGTGAGTTCCACGGCTGCTGCCATCTTCTTTTTCTTGTCCTACATTCCCCACAGCACGTGCTCGTGACTGCAGATCACCAACAGGCCTTGGGGTCCATGATACATCGCTTGATGGCGTCTTCCGGAGCGTTCGGCCTCAGCGCATCCTCCGGAAATTTCCTCCCACAACTGCTTCCTGTTGTCACTGCTATCACGAAGAATATGTGTCCTCCCTGTCGCTGAATGCTTCGGCTGTGCTCGTAGCTAGCTACTGACGAGGTTTGGATGCTCGTTGGGTCTCCTGTCCTTCCCCGGACCATTCCTCAGGTCTTGGTCTCCGACGGTTGAGGTATCCGAGAGTCCCCCCCCAACAGCAGCGAAGTGCGCGCCGTGAAGTGCGCCTCTCGTTCTTGCCGTGTCATCCACAGCAAGAGCCGATGGTTTGACCACCGCTTTTAAGGGCGCCGTAAACTTGCACAGGTGCCTCCACCGTCTCCCGTGCCGTGGACGATGCACTTCTTTATGCTTGCCACAACGTGACGATGACCTGGTTGCTGTTGGTGGTGATGGCCAATGACTCCCCCCCCCCCGCACGATGTCGCCCCCCCCGGTATTTGCCATCGGGGTTGGGTTTTCGTCGCTTG